TGGTGGGGCTCAGGAGAGAGGCCACGCCACCTGGGCAGGGGGAGCTGAGAAGCCCCCCCCCCCACCGGCCCCTTCTCCCTGCGCCTCCCTCTTGGCCAGGCTGCCGCAGTGCAGAGGAGCAGTCGCCGGGGTGCGGGAACCTGGTCAGCAGGGAAAGCAGAGAGGGAGGCTCCTGCGTCCAGGTGGGCAGCCCAGGGCCCTCAGCCTCCTCCTCCCTTGGGGGCATCGCTCAGGCGCCTGGGCCCTAGGGCCCGGGCTTTGCAGCTGGGGGGAGGAGGAGGAGGAGGACTCCAGCTGGTGCTGCTCAAGGCTCTCTGCGGATCCCCATCCTAGGGGATTGCTGGGTGCTGCCCCCTCTCAGCAGGCAGTTGGTGGGCCAGAAGGACCAGAAACTCTTCCTCTGTTTGGACCTGCTGAGTTGCACAAACAGGCCCTGGTTTTCTTTCTCCCCCCCGGAGTGGCAGGGAGTTCACACACTGGAGGTTTGGACATGGGTCACACACTGGACCTTCGGTCTGGCGGCTCTCTTGGCAGATGCTGAGGCACCGCGCATCTGACACCCTGGTCACTCTCCCCTCTCTCCCCTTCCCTACAGAGCATGAGAAACACCGGCTGTGCAGGAGCGCAGACTACATGAATCTGCACTTCAAAGTGAAGTGGCTTTACAATGAGTACTGCAGCCTGCCAGCCTTCCAAGGGATTGTGCCCGAGTACCCAGCGTAAGTTTCTTCTTGCCCCCCCAACCCCTCTCGATCCCTTGCCTAGGTCTGGAGGCACCTCAGGAGATTTGGGGGTATTGGCAAGCTGGGGACGCCATGCCTATTTCGTGGGGCTCCCTGGCGGCAAGGGATTGGGAGGAGGAGAACTGAACCAAGGCATGGCGGAGGTGCTGGAGGAGTGGTGGGCAGGCTGTGCGGCTCGCTCTTTCCCAGAAGGAGCAGAGGGGCAGTTGGAGGGCTTTGGGACTTCCTAGAGGGGGCCACAGCCTGGAACGCTTCCAGGGACCCCTTTGGATGGCTGGCAGAGAATTCAGGAGTCTCATGACGCCTTAGTGCAGCCAGGAGCATTCAGCCCTTGGAAGGATGCCTCTTGCTCTCTGGTATCGCCTCTCCTGGCATTGACTCTTCTCAGGAGCTGCTTGGGGCCTCTGGAATGCCCCCCCCCCCAGCATTGTTCGTAGAACCAGAATCCTAGGGTCGGAAGGGACCTTGGGGGTCTTCTAGCCCAACCCCTGCCCAGGATCCATGGGGGGGGGAGTTGTAGTCTTTGTTGCTCTTGGAAAAGGTCAAAAAAGAAACCTTTCAAAATAGGCTTTTGAACTGGTTTAAATATCCCCAAGTTTAATTTTTTACTGCAAACCAGTGAGAAAATCCTTGGTATAATACAGTAGGTTTAATAAATAAATGAAATAAATCAACACGTTGTACTCAGATGCTGAGCACAAAGGGAGTTTCAATCATGTTTATGAGAATAACAGAATAACTGTACAGTGTGATCTTGCTGAGCCTCTCGTCTTCTGTGTGTGCTGCTCACACACCCTCTTGCAAAGTCAAGACAGGGTTGCAGTCACTCAGACTCAAGGCAAGGGGTTTGATTTGGTTCTCTTGCTCAGCTGCTTTGCCTTGGCTGAATGGCAAATTGGATGGTTAGCTGGGCTGCCATCTGCAGACAGAAAGGGTCCAAGCATCAAGCATCACTAAGCAGGCGCTAAGGTGCTGATGCAGCTGACCCCCGGTTGCCACTCGGCTTCCGCCAGCTGAGCTGAAGGTTGGGGCGCCAGGAGTTCTCAGGGCGCCTCTGGCTCCCTGCGACCCCGCTGCCTCACCTGCCTTGGGATGGGTGCTGGTCCTTGGCACCACTCAGCATGTGCAGCTTCCTCAAATGCCGAAAATACTGGAATGTCAGCAAAGAAGGTAAACCGAATCACAGTCTGAGGATCCATTTATCTTGCCTCCCGCTCCTGGGAGGGTCCAACTGGCAAAGAGATAAGGAGGGAGTTTTAAAAGAAGAGCCCTCTCCTTCAGCATCCAGGTCTGAACAGGCAGACAGAGCCCAGATTCTAAGGGAGACCCCAAGACCCTTTGCCAGGACACCCTGCAACAAGGCAAAGGCTCCGGGCCCCAACGGCCTGGCTGGCCAAGGAACTTGCCCGTACTCCTCCCTTATGGTGCCCCCCCACCCATGCCAGCAAGGTCTTGGGCCGGAGGACCGTTTCTTAAGGGGGTGCTTTCTGCCATCCAGGTGGCCAACCGGCGCAGAGGGGCTCCATGCCCCTTAGAACTGCGGCTTTGCAAGCAGAAGCACTCCAAATGGGTGCATGCCCGTGTCCAGCCTTTCTTAGGGCCCCAGAAGCTCTCCGTTCTGACATGTGCAGGAAGGGTTATTTCAGGCGTCCCAGAGTAGCGTCTCTCACCTTCTTCCTCATCGCCCTTGCACGCTTAAGCAGCCCATAATTAGCACCACTCCGAGAAGCCCGTAATCAGCTGTGACAATCTCAGCCTTTGTGGTGCTTTATTGACTCATTCCCTTGTTTGCAAGCACTTTGTTTTGGTAGCACTTCCTGAGAGGCTGCTCTTGGCGCTGCACTCTGGCAGACGCGCCCACCAGGCAGAAGGCCACCTGGTCAGGCCCAGGAGATGACGGGGCTACTCTCCCCTCTCTCCCCTCCCCGCCTGCCCTCTGGGGGGAGGAAGGGAGAAGCAGAGGAGGGAAGGAACCATCTCTGGGCAGCTGTGGATGAGCGGCAAGGAAAGGCAGCAGCTGGGCGTAGAGGCTGCCTCTGGGAGTTCCCATCGTGCACTTGAGGGGAGCTTTGGGAGGGCACAGACGGGGGGCACCTGCTTCTGCTTTCCCTAGGCATGCCAGTGGGCGCTAGCAATCAACGGCTCAACTTGGCATTTTCCAGTTTAACTTCATTTAGCTATACTTCTTCTTAAAAATGGTATATTCATTTGTATGGAGTTCTCCTAAAATGTGCACTTTTCCTAACGTAAAGCAATCCTCCATAATTTATGCCTGCGTGTAACATTAAAGGGCGAAGTAAGTGCATTGCAAACCCTGGAGACCAGCCTTTCAAGGCATCCGATTAAATGCACTGGCATTAGGGTGCAGACCCTGCAGCTGCTGTCTGCTCCCTCGTCTCTTCTCCTGCGAGAGAAAGGCCAGGCAGCCACCAGACTTTGGTTTTCGTCTTCCCACAACCCTGGTGAGAATTCTTACCAGTCTCCCATCCAAGGCCCGACGCTGCGTAGCCTTTTCAAGATCGGTCTAGGTCCATCAGGGGCTTCCGGGCCAAGACATAGGAACACTGTCCAGGTGCTTTGGCAGGCTGGATCTCAAACACCTCCATTAAAAGGAGCCCCAGCCTCGTTTGGGGTGTCTCCCTCTGCCTCGGTGAGCTGCAGGGGAAGGCCAGGTCCTCCCGCTGGTGGCTGCAGCCCACCCATTGCTTCCTCCCACAGCCTGGCGCTTGGCTGTTTCCGCCCTTGTACTCTTGGCAGGTCCGCTGTGGCTAAGGGTCAGTCGACAAAAGTACTGGGGAGCGTGCTGGGCAACTCCATTTCCTCCAAGAGCATTGTTCCCCCCCCCACTTACTTAGCGTAGGAGCTGTGAAAGAACCTTTTTAAAAAACCAGTAATTTCTCTGCCTGCAGACAGCCAAGGCGAGAGATGAAAGAGGTGAGCGAAGGTTTCCTTTGCTTTTCTGGGTCGGTCACTTCTTGGCTGTCCAGTATGGAAGGCCAGAAGGAAAGCAGTGAGATGTTAAGATGAGCGCACCAACAAAAGACAAGGGCCTGGGAAGGGAGCCACGCAGCTCATGGGCCTCCCTGCTGGGGCAGGAAGAGGAAACTGATGCAGGCCTAGGGACCCTTGTGATGGTGGGGGGAATACAGTTTGACTAGGCTAAGAAAAATGGGGTTCCTCTTGGAAGACGAATGAGGACAGGAGGAAACTCCCTGGGAAAAGCAGCTGGGATGGAGTGTTAACCGGAGGCTGGGGCTTGGGGTCCACCTTTTTCGCTGGTTCCTTGAAAAGGCATCTTGGCCACGTAGAAGGTTGCATGGCAGCCAACAGGAGCGCCGAACAGATAATGCTGGTTTCCATCCCAATTGTAGGTGGTTTGAGCCATTTGTGATGCAGTGGCTGGACGAGAACGAAGACGTCTCCCTGGAATTCTTGCACGGAGCTCTGGAGCGAGACAAGAAGGACGGGGTAGGCGAGGGGCCGATTAGGCTGGGAGAAAGAGCCCCTCCTTGGGCCAAGCACCCCCTGGGATGGGTGGCCACCATCAATCCCAGGCAAAATTTATTTGTTGAATTTTTCCCCCACCCATCTCCCCCACAATGTGTTGCTGCCGCTTAGCTGAGAAAGACGTGGCCACTGGCAGCCTGGCACCACCCCCCTTTCCCAGCCTAGAAGACATAGCATGTGGGGAGGGCACACCAGTTGTGTCATCCTGGTCACACCCATACACACACCTCGCTTGTCTTCACAATAAACAAATTGGGGAGCAGGATGGCCTCTGGTTCTCCTCTCATGTTGCGCTGCAGAGGAGGCTTGACCATCATGTTCATTCACCTTGCTTTGGGTTGTTCTGGCTCCAGTAACCTGGCGCTCAGAGTCTGAAGAGGGATTGCACCTGGTCCATGAATAAAGAGGAAAGGAGTGGGTGGAATCAGGATCAAAATCCCATGAGAACAACTGGTGGGCCGAGGACATGCACTCCTTAGAGAAAGGGGTGTGTTTCTGATTCCTCAGGCTGTGCTGAGCGCCAGCTGACCTGGATTTTGCAATCTGGGACCTCACCCAGGAGCTTCACGTAGATGTTGAACAGGAGTGGGGAGAGCCCTGAGGCACCCCACAAAGCAGGGGCTGTGGGCTAGGCCTCCCCCCCACATCAACACCAACTGGAACCAACCCTGGAGAAAGGAGGAAAGCCAGCATAACCCTCTGCCCTCTGCTTCCAACCCCCAAAGCTAGCCCAGAAGGATACCATGATTGGTGGCATCAAAGGCTGCTAAGAAGTCAAGGAGAGCCAGGATGGATCCCCATCCCACTCCCATCAGAAATCATCCACATGCACGATCAGTGCCATTTTAGCCCCCATCCTGCCCTGAAACCTGACTGAAGGTGGTCCAGATAATTTGCTTCCTCCAGAATTCTCTGCAGTTGTGGTCTGGATACCTCCTCAAGAACTTCCCCTGAAAAGGAAGTTGAAAGGTGTCCAGAACAGTTGGGTCTAGTGATGGTTTCTTGAGGAGTGGGCAGATCACTGCCTCCTTAAGTGTTGGTGAGACCACTCCCTCTCTCAAGAGTGCATTCACTACTGCCTGAACACCCCCAGGGGTCCCATCCTAGGAGGCCTTAGCCAACTATGAAAGACAAGGATCTTGCCCATAGTGGCCAAGCTGGCAGCTTTGAGAATCCTGTCCACATCTTCAGGAGTCACAGGGTCAAATTTTTCCCAGATAACCAAGCCACTGAGCCTCAGGCACCTCCATGGGACCTGCCTCAAGGCTGAGGTCCAACTTGGAGCAGATCTGAGTGACTTTATACCTAAGGTGTTTCTCACAGTCACCCTGCAGATGAACTTCTGGCTCCACTTTACCCAGGAGAGTCTGGGTCACCTTAGTCAGGACCACAGATGGCTTCCACATATGTGATCAGGGTGGCAAAATACTGACATTCTGCCACCCTTACAAGTGACTCTACTCGTGCTCTGTGGGTTCACTCCTTGAGGTCCTCCAGCAGCACTCTAACCATCTCTTCTCTAAGCACACGTTTTGGCCTTCAGGCCTATTCCTAGATAGAGCTTGGCGACTGATTCTCACAGCACACTTAACCAGCTTGCAAACTTTCTACATCTGCATTTGCCCTATTGGCGAAGCTTGGGTAGCTTTAATCCTGGTGTGGTGTTTTGCTGGTTTGTTATTGTGTGAACCTAGCATTTCCAAATCCAGACAGAGTGTTAATCCAGTTCAGTGTTTTGTGTAGATTCCATCAGCGTGTGATTACTCTCTCTTTCGGGTTTAGTTTCAGCAAACATCTGAGCACGCCCTCTTCTCCTGCTCGGTGGTTGATATCTTCACCCAGCTGAATCAGAGTTTTGAAATCATCAAGAAGCTGGAATGCCCTGATCCCGCCATTGTTGCTCGCTACATGCGACGTTTTGCCAAGGTGCCATTTTTTCCCCATTGGCCTTTGCCAAGATGCCATCCTCAGGGCTGGGATGGTCCAGTGCGCTGCTCCGGAAGAGGGTGGGTTAATGTCTCCGCTCTCCTTGTAGACCATCGGGAAGGTGCTGGTGCAGTATGCAGACATTGTTTCCAGGAGCTTCCAGACCTACTGCTCCAAGGAGAAGGTGGTGAGTCCCTGGCCTGACTCAGCCCAAGCATCGACTGGTTCAGATGATATAAGTCCAGGGAAGAGGCTGCCATTTGGCCAGAGGCTACAAGACATAGCCATCATGCTCTTGGCACTAGCCATATGGCAAGCAGCGGCCGATGCTGCAGAGAGAAGTGATCAGGGCAAAGCTGTCCTGGCAGCTTCTCAAGGTCCTTCTCTGCTGGAGCAAAGTCACCTGCTCAGCCTTTCCCCATTTAGAGTTAACCAACGGCTCTTGTCCCAGCAGACGGCCGGGATGATCCAAGGGTTGGACCATCTTCCCTAGGAGGAAAGGTTGAGATATTGGGTGCTTTTTGGTCTAGGCAGGAGGCGAATATAGATATATATGATATATAGAATTATATAGTGTGTGGATAAAGTGAAGCTATTTTCCCTTTCCCAAAATACTGGAACCAGAAGTCACCAATGGAATGGAAGGATTCCTGGAAGAATCAAGAGAGACAAAAGGGGGGGGAGGGATTGTGCAATGTGTAATTCATCTTTGGAATTCACTGTCATGGGATGTGCTGGCGACCAGCTTGGCTGGCCTCAAAGAAGGGGTGGACTGATTCACCAAAGCCTTGGGGAACAGTGGCTATTAGCCCTGATGGCAATGGGACTGCCTCTGAAGGCATCTGCTGGGAGACTTGTGGGTTTCCTTCTGTGGTTGGGTGGCTGCTGTGAGAACAGACCACTGGACTAGATGGGCCAGGGGTCCGATCTAGCAGGGCATGGCTTCTGGTCTTATGTAAATGGATCCAGTTTGGATCAAGAACCACTGGACAGACTGTCCCTCACGCTCCCCGATCAGTCCCTGAAGGAGAAGTGGATCATTCAGTCCTCTGTCCATCCAGGCCCTTTTTTACCAGTTGGGCTTCTTTGCTTCCCCAGATGGCATTGGGGAAGGAGGGCAGCTGTTGGCTACCTGCAGGCCGGGTGCCTAAACTGCAGGACTCCCAGTTCCCCATCTCCTTTGCCACAGTCCTGCCCTCCGGAGTTGGCCCAGAAAGCTTGACCACCTTTTGCTCTTCCCTTCCCTCCCTCAGCCCTGTGTCCTGATGAACAACATTCAGCAGCTGAGGGTGCAGCTGGAGAAGATGTTTGAGGCCATGGGGGCCAAAGAGGTGAGAGCTGAGGCTGGACCAGGAGCTCATCCCCCACATACTCCTCAGGCCTCCTTGAGGGCACCTCAGAAGGGCCACCTCTTTGATCGAAGGGTGGGGGAGAGAGCCTTCCATGGTGGTCGAAGCCAGTCAGGGGGGAGGGTGTGGCTCCCTGGCCATGGTTCCCTCGTAGCAGGGGGAGGTCATCCCTACTCTTGGCTGGCAGGTAAGATGGCATCCTTCAGAAGATGGATGGGTGTCCCTTGGGAGAGGCTCGGTGGGCTCTGCTCCTGGTGGAGGGAGGGAGGTGAATTATTCCCACGAGTTGAGAAGTTCTTGCAGGAGCCAGTCCTGGCTGCCATGGTGGGCTTGGGTGGATTTCTGGCACCGGCCTGAGCCTCTGCGTTGCCCCTTCTGCTCCTCAGGTGTGCATGCTGGAGCTGTGCTTCTACTTCCCCAGGATCCGTCCCCATTGCCTTTGTTCCCCATAGGAGAAGCCCCTTCTTCTAGGAGAGCTGAAGGAGGCTGCTATGGTGCCAGAAGTTTTGGCCTGACCCGTGCCTCTCTTGGCTTCTGGCAACAGAGGCAGGAGGGTGACGCATCGGGGATGGATCCTGAGGCTCTCCGGCTGCTTTGGCTTTCTTGCTTTTGACTCAGGGAGGGGGCATTCCATGGAAGCAGCCGGCAGATTTGCTCCCCTCCCTCGGCAGTTCTGGGCTGTGCAGGAGCAACTACGACCTCCTGTGGAGAAGCATGAGATGGGGGGGGAGGTGCTCAAGACTGAGTAACCCTGGGCAGCTGGGAAGCGAGGGGTCTCCTGCTGCTTCTAGTGATGAGAATTTGATTCCTTAGGAAAGAGTTTGGGCGTGCCCCTCTTGCCCTCTCCTGTTTAGGCCTGTCCGCCTGCAGGAACAGGCGCTGTGCCTTTACCCAGCAGGGAAGCCCCATCTCAAGGAACACAGCAGCCCCCGCTTTCTGCACAAGGGCCCTGACCAAAAGGCCTGAAGGGTTTGCAGCAGGTCTGGTACACCTTGCCTTTCCGTGGCGCTCTAGCGGTTCTCTAGCTGATCAGCAGCCGGAAGAGCCTCCGTGGCCCCGTCTGCAGGGGGGCGCCTTGGCGGCCGGGAGGGAAGGGATGTGGAAGGCAAGCTAAGAGCTGCCCAGCCCCAGAGGCAAAAGGCGAGACGTTGTCACCGTGCGCCGCAGGTTTGTGTACGCAGAGGGGTTGCTTAAAGCCCACAAAGGCTCCAGCATCGCATGCTGAAATTCCCACAGATCCCAAGAGGGGGTTGGGGGGCGGGGGCTGAATTTGCATGGCTTATTGTTCCCTAACTGTTCCCTTTGGGGAGAGAATGGGGGGCATCTGACCCCTTGAATTTTGGGGTCCTTGCGTACTTGAGTTCTCCCCCCCAGGAGCCCCCCATCTCTCCTGGGTGTAGTTGCTTCCCATGGCGCCTCTGGGGAAGAGACAACTTGATTTAGGCGCATTTCCAGTTTGCCCTGTGCAGGAGCAGCAAAACCGTGGCTTCTGGTTTCTTGGCAAAGTACATTGGCATCCCCGTCTCCTGCAGCGGGGCAATCTGCCGAAGCCTGCTGCCCTGTGCACCCCTTCTCTGCGGGGTCTGTGCACAGACTAGCAGCCTAGCTGCTGGTGAGCATTTTGGCACTGCACAGGCAGCGACAAAACCAGGAGCGTGGGGGAGGCGACTCAGGGCCAATTCGGACTCCGAGCATTTACAGGAGGCGTTGCTGATGGCCGGAAGCCCTGGGCAGTCGCTCCAGTGGACTCTGGCACTCTCTGGGCAGGGTCTCTCCCCCTTGGGTCATTGAGAAAGGGCTTGGTGGGTGAGCTGGGGCCCCTTAGGTGCCATTTCCACTCCTACTTCTGGAGGTCTCCATGACTGAAGCAAAGTGGTCCTGAGTGAAAGGGAGACAGATCGGGGAGGGCCTTCCCAAAAAGTGTTTGGGTGTCCTTAAGTCTGTCCCTTGCAGAGAAGGATTTCATCCAGCAGATGGCACCTTGGGTAGAGTAGACCACAAAGGGAGCTTTCTTTGCAGCTTTGTGTGGCCGGCAAAGCCCAGGGCACTTGAGAACAGACATGTGTCTAGAACGTCTCTCCATTGGGTTACCTCTTCACTGTTGGCTTTTATCTGCGGGGCCTTGTAATGCTAGATTCTTCAGGGAGGGAGGATTGCGCTGTGTCTGACCCCACTGTCTTCTCTTTCCCTTAAGCTTGCTACCCATTTGGGTAATCATGGTTCTCTCACTTGACAGAAGAACCATCTTTTGTTTTGAGACCCAACCTCTAGAGTAGTGCTTCCGAAACCAGCATGGCTGGCTTGGGAATTCTGGGAGTTGAAGTCCACACAACTTAAAGTTGCCAAGGTTGAGAAACACTGCTCTAGAGTCTTCTAGAAGTCCCTGGTCAGGTGCTTTTTCCAGATGCTGCAGAAACTGACATCCTCCAGAACAACCAACCCTCCTGCCTCATTTGATTGGATTTCATGTCCTCCATCTTTCACGCATGCACATTCAGGCTTGCACAGACACAGACATTTATATGGGAATAAAGCAAGTGAATATATGTGAAAATTACATAATAACACTGGTAGCAATAGGGTGTCAACATTAAGGAACCTGTACATACCTGGTCTCTGGGTTTTCGTCAGTAAGAGAAGAGAAAGAAACCAGATTTCATAACAGTGCAGATAAGCCACATTAAAAGCAGGTACATTTGGTGTAGTGGTTAGGGGTCTGGGCTAGAAACCAGGAAACCATTCAGTTCTAGTCCTGCCTGAGGCACAAAGCCAGCTGGGGGACCGTGGGCCAGTCCCTCCCTCTCAGCCCTGGGAAGGAGGAGGCCGGGGCAAGACCTTCTGAAACAGCTGAGAAGAAAACTGCAGGGCCCTGTCCAGGCAGTCGCCAGGAGTCGAGACTGACTGGGAGACGCAAAATGCATTTCATCTTTTACGTGCCTAGATAAAAACCCTGCAGATGGATGGAAGAGGAAGGTTTGCCCACAGCCGGGATCTCTTAAGACTAAGGAACAGCCACTAGAAGTGCCTGTGGTCAGTTGGCTTGCACCCTTATCCTCCCCTTCTCACAGACAGCCTTTGCACCAAAGTCCCTCTCACGCATGAGGAAGATGGTGGCAAGGTTTTCCCAAAGCTGTGGCTGCTTAACGGGCATGGGACGGGCAGCGCTGTGTTTACACGTGCCTGTAACTCTGGCAGAAGGAAGGGGCTGCTGCCGGGGCTGCCGCATTAGCGCGTTTCTGTCTTCCTTCTGTCTTCTCTCTGCCGGACCAAGCTACCAGAACCCCCTCCTGCTGGAGTTCTTGCTGTAGTCCAGCCTGTCCTGCTCCTTCTCCCATTTGGGGAATGGAAAGTCAGGGGTCCCTTCCTCTCACATAGCATCCCTTGGTCCTTTGCTGGTGGACAAGCTGAGAATCCGGTCCTCAGCTCTTTCATTTACCTGAAAGAAGATGACAGTGTGTGACAATTCCCCCTCTCGCAGCAAGAAGAGAGAGCTACATCCTGCGCCCTGGCTAGATTCCCCAGCACGGCGACTTAAGATTCCCTGCCCCACCTGGAGATTTCCCACCCTCAGTAGACGCACACGTGATACATTTGCATATATGCGTGCCGATAGATACAAACATGTTTTTCCATTTTGGTGCGTTAGCGATATCTAAACTATGTATCGATTGAATTACTGCGATGAAAATAATTGCCCATAAATTAAGGAATCTCATTACAAAATGGATTGATGCCCATCTGCTAAAAAAACCATTCCCTCTCACCTTCCCTACAAGGCACTTCCACTCTCATCCAGAGCGTGCAAGAGCGCACAGGCTCCAAGGGAAACAGTGGAGGGAAAACAGGCTAAAGATAGACTGGGGAAGGATAGCTGCACCGGGAAGAGGAGGAAAGGGGTGAGGGCGGCGAGAGCCCAGTCCCAGGTGGTCACAAGCAGGCAGCCTCACATCTGAGACCCATCTGTTGCCCAGAGAAGGGAGAGGCA